TGAAAGATACGGCAGAACGGCTATTTTTGAAAAATGATTAAAAATACTTTTGTGCTGTTATGACGCATAAAACGCTCATCAGCATGTTCCTCATCATGTGACAAAGGCATATCCGTGGTCGAAAATAGCTGAGCCCCTCCCAATTTCCAACCACCGACCTCATAAGCAAAGGATGTAAGCGTAATCCTTAAGGGCGACTTTCCTATACATATCCGTACATATGCGTCCTTATGGAAATCGGTAGTGTGGCGATTGGCGACGCGCGCGACATCTGTGTGGCGACCAAGTGGCGACTGTGGCGACACCTGGTGGCTGCTTTTCTGCTGTATGTAGGCATTGGGGTTTTGCCAGATGTGGTTCCTACTGCTACACTACTATGTTGTCCCAATACTAGAAAAGTTATTTTGCTAGTAAAAGGCAAGCAAATTGAAAGTTGATTTATAAAATTGCTTATAAATGATTACGAGATAATAATAAAGAAATTTTGATTGAATAATTATTTAAATAGTCAACCGTGAAACTATATTCTGGTAGGTTTAGTAGAAATAAGTCCGTGCAACCTTGTATTTAGGGCCTTGGTACAGGCCATGTCCGGCTTTGAAGGGCACGTTAAACATTGGCATCCTTAACCCGGCAGTTGCTGGGGTATTTCGCCACCCACCGTTTGCTGGGGGGGGGGCGTTAAACGCCCCCAGCCGATAACTCGAGAACCAATAGGCGCAGCGAAACGCACGAGGCGGCAAACGAAAGAACGCGACGAGACGCTTCAGATGAGTACTTTAAAGTTGAATTTTGAGGTCACAGGTAGGGTCAAGGTCAGGTCAAACACCTGAAATCGGGCTTTCAGTAGCATGGACTTCAGGACTTCGCAATGGGCGCCTCTCGTCATAAACTCTGTCAAAACGGTGCACAATCCATCATATAAGGCCTACAAGAGTGTCAGCTCCATGTAGGGGTCAGTCAAGCATAGGTCAGGGTCAAGGTCAGGTCAACCGGGTAGGCAAATATCCCCGAAAATCAAAACTGATATTCGCAGCCTGTGACACATGTTTTATGGGTAATTTGGGGCGTAGAACACGATGGTGACATTCATTTTATCATATTAGTACGTGTTTGGCTCAAAAAGTTCAATTTAAGAAATGCATGTAACATGGTCGTGAAGTAGTCACGAGAAATTGCCAAGATTCAGTTCAAGATTTTGGAAAATGCGGAACGATAATCAATAATCGAAGATAGCCATTTGATTGTTCATGGTGTTGGCAGTCTAATGGCGTTTACGGCATGTCTGTATGTCTATTCTGTGATTTTATATGATTTTTTGAACATATGCCGTTTTTGGTCGAAAACTCAAAAATCATGACGTCACTAAAACCTCGATATCTCAAAAAATTTTCCGACCGATTTTTTTTTTAAACTTTGTCACAATACACTGCAATCAATTCCCTACAGGTACCCAAAATTTGGCGCGCCTGCGGCGCGCCGTTTTTATGCTATGGCCCGGCGAAAAAAGTGGGGGCGTTTAACGCCCCCCCCCCCCCAGCAACTCGCGGGTTAAACGTTAAACTAAATTCTCCTGTCACCCGGAATTACGCGATCGGACGGTAGTGGGCGGGCTCTACGCAACAAGCTCTGCTTAGCGTAGGCTCCGGCTCCCGTCAATCCGCCCTTTCAAACATTCGTGCTAAATTTATAAGAAACGTCACTCTTAAAAATACCGAGTTACAACCTAAACAGCACACAGTGAACCGGAAAATAACACTCGTGACCCCTCCTTATGTCTTTGATATCATCTCAGGGCACGAAAGATATGCAATAGTTTGCAGCAATTCGCTAATAACTTCTGCTGGAGGCATTCTAGAGCAGTAGAAACACCTTAGATGTGTTGAGCTTTACGATACGGATCGACTGATATGCAACACGACCTTTTCCGGTCAGGTCATGACTTGACCAAATGTCAAAGTTGTAAGTTCACTTTTTAAGATCAAATTATAACTCATTCGACGTCATTCGACGCGTCTTCGCGAGAGGCACACGATGCCGGTAAAAGTAAGATCGGACAAGGTTTGATTCAAAAGTTATCACAGAAAATCCGTTCCCGTAAAAATGGTATACCTATATTAGGTATGGCAGTTTCCCCTGGAGGCTAAACCGTTGATCTTAGGTCCAATCTGAGCAAATTACCCAGAAAGAGCAGTAACAGTGCTATCAAATTAGCTTTTCTGGGGCGCTCTAGCTCTATTCGTTTCCGAGTTATGCGCCAGTTCTTCAAAAATTGTCGAAACTGGACCTAAATATTATCGGGATTTGGCCTTTGATGGGCTCTGGTGATCTGACATCTGACCTGACCTTAAAAGTGACTGGGGTAATTTGGTCATTATGTTTGACACTTTCAAACGCCGCCTACCGCTTGTTGCTACGTGGCCCAGGACAAGATGCCCAGGAGCCGAGTTAGAAGGGATATGGGTGCTCAAACATCCACCAGGGGCGTGAAAATCCAGGAGCCCCAGCGCGGCTGGGCACGGAATATTGGTTAACATAAGACATTTTACACCATCTTACGGTAAGATGGTGTAACTGGCGTTGTGAAGTAACTTGGTCACTGGCGTGGTGGTGGGTCGGGGTCGCCGATGGTCAGCTAAACTTTTGCCCTCCCCAAACGGATCGGCTGGATCCGCCCCTGACCAGGCCAAAATTTTAGACCTCTTAGTGCATATCTTCAGGTCGCGCGGGGTGACGAAAGTTTCAGAACGTTTACTATGGAAAGCCAATGGGAGGAAGGTCGGAAATATTGCATAAAATCATACATGAGTGATACGGAGTCTCGCAAACTACAGATCACGGTGCAGTTTTGGCTCTCCGTTTCCTGGAGCAGCAGAAGGCTAGGTGCAGAAGAAAAAAAAAGTACCGGAAAATTCTTATTCATCCTGCATAGCTACGATAAAATTGGCAAAAAAACGGCCAAAAACGGTAGAAAAAACGTGGTTAGTCAGGGTGAATAAGAATTTCCCGGTACCTACCTACTTTTTTCTTCTACACCTAGCCTAGCCTAGCCTAGCCTTTGGATTGGAGAAGGACCGTACGTACCTCTGAGCCCGGTAAGCAGTCCTTACTCCTTATCGTTTTTCTCACAGACAATGACAATAGGTACAAAAACAATGTAATAAGACCAGACGTTTCGACAACAAAGTGCCTTCGTCAGTGGAAAAACAAGATATAGGCTTTACACCGATAAAAAATATATAGAAGACGACCAGCCTGCACGAAATACAGTTTTACTTTTTTGAAATACAGGTTATATCTAATCTCGCACTAAAATGTTATATCGTTCTTCTGTCTAAACTATTTTGTAAGTCATAATCACAGCATTGGAATCGACACATTGACACATTATAACAGAGACACTCCTATGTATAGATATAGCTATTTGTTTTTTAGCACCATTTTCGCACCTATCCTGGACCAGCTGTAGCAGGCTGGCACGGTCCGCCGACATCAAAACAACGGTGCGTCAGCTGATTATTGGTCCTCCGATTCAGGAGAAATTATTAACGCGGGAACGCCGGCGCTAAATAAAGGCGGTAGGATTCACGGCTTTGCATGATTGTGTGCAATATTTTTTATAGTATCAAGCGAGGGGTATTGCTGGAGTTTTGCAAATAAACATTTTATTCTCAGTTTGGCTATGCGATCGTGAACACTTTATTTTCATAGATAAGATATGAAATAGTATAAACAGGCCAACCCAAGGCTATGTAGGCCAACCTTAGACTTCGCATAGCCATGGACATTGCGTAGGAAGGTACTCGCCGATCGTACCACGATACCACGGGCAAGATATCAGACTTTTGGGAGTTTTGTGTCGCTGAAATGTATTTTAAGTGCTAAGAAGGAAAATAATTCAATTTAATGTCATGTACAAATACAATGGACATTTAGCCATTCCAAGCATATAGTTTGCCTGGCTTCGCCAACCAGATAGCCAGGTTTATTCCAAGAGCTTCTAAAGAGGTAGTGGATTTAATATCGTTTCTATTACATTTATTTGATAATCCTACATATCAGTAAACCTGCCACGTTATCATTCTCGTCGAGCGATTACCGGCACATCGTACCAATTGGTACGATGTGCCGGTAATCGCTCGCCGAGGATGCCAATGCAGCGTCGAGCGTCCGATGGTTTACGATAGGAATTATAACAATAGTTTTAAACTAGCGCTTTTTAGAACCATGGTCCGAAATGGTAATTCAAAGAACCTCTTCCCCTTTCAACTCACCTGAAAAAGCTGCTTTCGTGTACCACCCAGCACCCGTTTCGTAGATATATCAAAATGATAACCGGAGGCGAAGATTATCTTTATGATACCACGATTTGTGGGGCTGACTAGTACCGACGGGGATCCCACAAACACGACGGTCACATTCATTAAGCATGATGTACGGCGTAAAGCACCACATCTCACCCCAAAAGCGCAACCTTCTGAGATATCTTATATTTAGTTTCAATGCTGGTACTGGTGCAGTTTCAATGCTGGTACTCTGCTCATTTCTGCTCAATAAAGTTATTTCTCGCTCAAATGCGCCTCACATTAATCGTGTGCTGTGCTCCACAATCATTGCGCCGCGCGCTCTTCCTTCTTATCGGCCCCCTTGAGATCGTATCCATCAATATCTATTTGCTTCAGTTCTAAGTTCTAATGACTTGTATTGTAGAGAAACAATTTTAGAGCGTTTAACAAAATAATTGCATAACCTATGAGCGATAGGAAAAGCCCAATCGTCCAACTCATAAAAACATTGGGACACAAACAACTGGAAACTGATGGTAGTTGGTACTTTCGCGCATAGGCGGCGGAACGGGGAGGGCACCGGGGCACCGTGCCCCCCTCTGATTTTGGCATTTTAACATGGGCTCTATGGGCGTTACATGGAAAGAATGGGACCAAAAGTCGGCAGTGCCCCCCCCCCCCCCTTCCCCAGTTGAGCTGGGCGCAGGTACTAAATAGCATCAAAGGAAATCCTATATTCATCTCGCCGCATTTAAGCGCACCAATCGAAAGACGACAGCGTGACCGCGCTGACAGGCAATCAACCTGGCCACATAAAACTAGCTAGTGCAAGGAAGATGTCTATATAAACCACTGGACCATGCAAAGCGTTCATGTAAATAAAATATGAGTAAAGATGACCCGTTTGAGGGCAGACTGGCCAAACAGTGACGTTACACGCGGATCTCAACACTGCACAACCCATTCATCAAAAGAGATCTCGTGGATCCCTATATACGTCATAACTAGCCCTAGTACGGGGGTATATAGCCATGGACGTAAATGGCCGGCTTAAGGCACAGGATCCCAATTGTCATCCCCATTACGTGGTCCCCAGAAGTCGCCAGGCCGAGAGCCAATGGCAGTTAAGCACATCTTACACGTGCCGACAAACGTGACACAATGAATCCAATAATGAGCCCGCCAATAAGCCTGCCTAATTCTGCATGTAGGCTGCTATTTACCACCACGGCGGAAGGCTAAAACGCATCCATACAGCTCAACATAGGTGTCAATTTCCGCCGGGTTGGGGGTGCTCAAGCTCTTTAAATTCCCCGCCGGCTCGGCTGGCTTGGCTTTGGAGCCCCAACAGACGGTGCGGGTCAAGGTCACCGCTGAGGCGGCGGCGGATTTGCTGCGCCCGGGCAGTGGGCACCCTCAATTCGGTGAAAATCGACACCCATGCAGCTCAACATGACAAAACGCTGCATACAAGCGCACGTCCTCGCATTTAATTGACGCATTTAACTGCGTCACTAACCTCGTACACTGTACAACACTGGTGAGATGACTGTCCGAAGGAAACTGCCGACTTTGGCTGGCAACATTCAGGGTTGGTGACTTATGTACTGAGTTCGGCTGGCTGACAGCGATGTGACTTCAGGACCGGTTGATGAACGGGCCATCCTAGCCCCATACTACAGGAGCCCAGCTGGTCTTGGCGAGCGGCTGCGACTGGACGAGGCTGGACCCCTACTACAGGAGCCCAGCTGGTGCTGACGAGCGGCGGTTACTGGACGAACGGGTCAGCCTGGACCCCTATTGCAGGAGTCCGGCTGGTCTTGGCGAGCGGCGACGACTGGACGAGGCTGGACTCCTACTGCAGGAGTCGAGCTGGTCCTGTCGAGGAAATAGTTCACCTTTAACATGGGATTTTAAACTGAGATAGCAGTCTGATAGAGCAGATTTGTGTATGCCCTATATTTGAACCGTTTGAGATATTCACCATTTATCAGTGAATATTGGTGCTTAAATTCATGTTCTAGTGCTCATTTACAGCAAGCAGAAACCTCTTCAACACACACAGTGGCCAATCAGCGATGAGAGCACTTACAGGAGCAGAATCCCTTGCAGCTGATAGGTTGTTCAGCAGTTAGTGTTCATAACTCTAATCATTAAAATAATGTAATCCCTTTAGAAGAAGTGTGTAATTCCAAGTTAGAATACATTTAAATTTTATTCATCACATTTTTAACACATCTCTTTGAATTTTATTAATCAAATTACTCACAGAAGGTGAACTATTTCTTTTAACACTTACCTTGCTTCAATGGTGACATGTAGCTCTTGCAGCAGAGAAGGCACAGCATTTGGCTGCAACTTCAAACATTGACTTGTTGCTATCAATTATTCAGTTTTGAAATGCATACAGGTACAGTGAATCTTGGGTTCTCCTGTAAGAATGCTGACCGCAGAAGCAGAAGTTCATCCAAAGCTTGTGCCTGAAAAAGGGCCAGGTTTAATATATGAGTGAAATGAAGACTTATAGGTAAGGTTTTGACTAGACCCCTGGGTCACAACAGGAGATGACCCCCGTGATTGGTGGGACCACCAGGCACCAGCACTGGCACAGTCCGTTCTGACCACCGCACACCTATCAGCCCGAGAGCACACTAAATTGCATGTTAAAGCTCCATTAATGCTTTTTTCAATTTTGGCCATCCATTTTGTTGGGTCCATCATGTCCATCACCAAGCCACATTTAAAATGCACTACACTACATCCCCCACCACCTGACCACACCAGGCCAAATCTGCACCGCGCTACACAAAATCCGCACTGCACCAAGCTAAATCCACGCCACACCAAAGCCTCACCAGCCGGACAAGCCAGCACAGACGAGATCTTGTCGAAATTGCCATGCTTTGCAGAGTGCATACTGGCCTACCTGAACCTGACCTTACCCAACATATGAGCCTGACTGTCCTTAGCACTGGGAGCTCATTGAGACCAGGCCCCACAGGCCTAGTGGCCTCCTGAAACCTGATTTCCATATGGGGTGAGCTATTTAAGAATGGTGATCGGATATCGAACCCGAGACAAGACAGCAATGAGCAGTGGGCGGTTCATGCAACCATAATCATGTTTCCTTACCACAAGTATCAAAGCAAAAACAAAAATAGCTACCTATCGAATTCAAATTTCACTGGAACCTCACCTGCATGGATCTTAAGTGAAAGGTACATCTTGATACATCTGCACGAAAGATACATCTTGATCCACTCATCTCAATCTTGTTTTTCTGCATCCAGGGCATGCAACACTTCTGGTCAAGGCCGTATATAGGATATCGCTTCTGGTATTTTTGGCACAACTTACTCGACTGCTGAGCTCAAATGCAAATTGCAATCACGGTCATAAAATACTGAATCAAGGCCATATTACTGAATATTGAATCGCAATGTATATTCAGTCGATGTACCCCTCGTTCGATGTCTCTCAGACGACGAAGATTGTACGTCGTCCGGCCAATCCTCTTCTAGGTCAACGGGGGCTCGGCTGCAATTATGGAATGTGATTGGCCAAACGGCGTAGAATCTTTGTCGTCCGAAAAACATCGAACAAGAGTAATGTCGCTACTGCGCCATTGTTGCATCGAATTCGCCCCATAGAAGCACGTGTTAACTCTCTCCCATAGGGCCCTGGGTAAACTCTTGTACACAATCAGCTGACGGCATGCCTCCCGCGTCCCCTGGCTTGAAGCTTCGGCTCCGTGTTACCTTATTATTCAATGACCGTGAGCTGTAGAAGCCTGGCTTTATGTTAACGGTGTCTTCAAGTAAAATATATGCAGCTTCCATGGCTCTCCTAATCGGTTTTGGCATGCCCTTTTCCATCACTGTAGCTGAATCCCAAGCTGGAAGATGATGACACTTTTCTATATGAAGCACCATCGCATTGGATACATTATGATTTCGAACATCACGTTTGTGCTCTTGAAGTCGTGTTTTCAAACCCCTCCCCGTTTCACCGACATATGATTTTGAACATGGTCCAGAACAAGGTATCTTATATATAACGTGATGTTCGAAATCATAATGTATCCAATGCGATGGTGCTTCATATAGAAAAGTGTCATCATCTTCCAGCTTGGGATTCAGCTACAGTGATGGAAAAGGGCATGCCAAAACCGATTAGGAGAGCCATGGAAGCTGCATATATTTTACTTGAAGACACCGTTAACATAAAGCCAGGCTTCTACAGCTGGTCCAGGATAGGTGCGAAAATGGTGCTAAAAAACAAATAGCTATATCTATACATAGGAGTGTCTCTGTTATAATGTGTCAATGTGTCGATTCCAATGCTGTGATTATGACTTACAAAATAGTTTAGACAGAAGAACGATATAACATTTTAGTGCGAGATTAGATAGGTATAACCTGTATTTCAAAAAAGTAAAACTGTATTTCGTGCAGGCTGGTCGTCTTCTATATATTTTTTATCGATGTAAAGCCTATATCTTGTTTTTCCACTGACGAAGGCACTTTGTTGTCGAAACGTCTGGTCTTATTACATTGTTTTTGTACCTATTGTCATTGTCTGTGAGAAAAACGAAATGTCTGACTCTTCTAACCTTACTCCTTACCTTTTCTTAGCTGGCAGTCTGCAGGGCCTATTTTAACATGTTAACTGGGGGGGCAAATGCCCCCGCACTCAACAGAATTGCCCCCCTAGTCGTCGAGATTTGCCCACTATAAAAATGGGCATAAAGGAACAGGGTGACAAACATACTACGTAACTACTGTGACTTGTTTTGCAATGGATGTCAAATGAGTCAGTCTGTAAGTAATGACCAGTGGTGTATCTAAGGGTGGGTCATATGGGTCATGACCCCCCACCCTCTTGGGGCCCGGGGACACCACAGGCCTGCCAGGGGCACCACCGGCCTGTCAGGGGCACCACAGGCCTGTTGGGAGCACCATCAACCTAGCAAGAGCACCATAGGTCTGCCAGCGGCACCACAGACCTGCCAGGGGCCCCACCGGCCTCGCAGGGGCACCACCTTGGGCTTGTCAGGGGTACCACCACAGGCCCGCCAGGGGCACCATAGGCCTGCCAGAGGCACCATAGGCCTAGCAAGGGCGCCACGGACCTGTCAGGGGCACCAGAGGCCTAGTATGGACACCACATGCCTGTTAGGGACACCACCGGCCTCGCAGGGACTGGGACACCTTGGGCCTGTTAGTGGCACCACGTGCCTGTCGGGGACACTCCAGGCTTGTCAGGAGCACCACAGTCCTGTCAGGGCCCAGGGGCACCACCGGCCTCACGTGGACACCACCGGCCTCGCAAAGGCATCATGGGCCTGTCAGGGGCACCACGGGCGTGTCGTTGGAACTTCAGGCTTGTCAGGGGCACCACAGTTCTTTCAGATGCACCTGCGGCCTAACACCATGGCACCATGTTTGGCCGAGGTCGCGATTCGGCGTATGTCGCCTCGCATTAGCCGCGCGTTTGCAGTCTTTTCGTGGTTTTAAACGTTCAAACATGGGATATGATGTTGCTCCTATGCATTAGGGTGGGTGTCAAGATCACCGGAAGGTCAGGTCAGATCATTTACCTTTGATGACCTCGGTTCACATTTTCGAGTTTTATATGTTTCTAGGCTAGTTTTTGGAGCTGAATTCGAATTAAGCAACCATTTGACCATTTACGAAGTAGTTTTGGTGCCTTCGTAACATGTTACGAAGCTGTCAGAGGCGGTTGCCACCTACTACGAATACCCGGCAAAACCCTTACTGGTTGACCTGACCTGACCTGACCTGGCCTAAATGCATGAAGACATCATCTATGATCATAACTAACATGATATTCGTGATCAGCACCCCGAAAAACCATAGCAGCCACTCTTTACGACGCTCTAACAGGTCCCGATTTTCCCGACTTTTGGGTCAATGACCTGACCTGGAAGGCCAACCGATGACCTAGGACCTTAAAATTGGGTATAATCGGCTTCCTTTCATCACGGGCAACACGGTCGTTTTTTCCGCGAAGCTCTAGCTCGATCAGGGGCGAAACGGCAAGGGGGAGGGTCCAACGGACCCCCCCCCCTATACGCTCGCTACTGGAAACACCAATACGGGCGAGGGTTAATGGATTATTAAAGACAATTTTCCAGGTTGCCCCCCCAGTCAAATTCCCTTAAAATAGGCTCTGGCAGTCTGAGAAAGTGGTCCATTGGACCCTGCAGCTTCCGTTCCTTCATTCTCCTTACAGCAGTCAACGGACGCGTCGAAAAAAAAAAACTAGCACTCCACTCTTCTACTCTGCAGATCTGAGATCACTACCACCTTGCTGACCTTGCTACCACCCAAGCCCTATATCATTATGAGCAACCAATCACTCACAAAAGGCCTCTACACCAAGGCCCTAAAACTCTACACCACGCTCGGCGCTTGCTCGGCGCGGTGCATTCCCGACCCATGGTTGAGCAGCCTTTGTTCAAGACAAGGGTTCAAGCAGGTTCAAGATTCTCTTGAAGATTCGGCGGATACCTTGGTTGAGCCAGGGTTGAGCTTGAGCCTTGAGCCCAGGTTGAGCCAAGCCGCCAAGCTTCCTAGTTGTTATGGCAACCCTAATTCAATATACCCTGATGGCAACAAGAGCGTACCTTATTTTTTAGCAGTTCAAAATGACAAATGTAGTTTTGGTATGTCAAAACTGGTCAAAACAAACTGAAGCTTGGTGATTTTTTTCAATTAAAAAACTTTTCAAAAAAACGTGATTAAATTTTTTCTATAAAATAAATTAACTTTTTCTTATTTTGAGCAGTACGTACTGTACGTAGTGGATTTCCAAGTCAAAAATTACACTACGTACAGTGTACGTACTGTACGTAGTGGTGGCGGCGCCCCTGTTTGTGAATGCAACACGATGCCCATGTGCAAAGTGAAAAAATTGTGGATTTGCGTGTGGGTGAGTGGGTGTGTATTTGTTTGTGATTGTGTGTGTGCGTGTGTAATGATGTGCGTGTGCTACGCTCATGTAAATGCATCCGAGCGTTTGTATCATTTGGTCGTGTCAACCGGCGAAAAAGAGCGTGCCAACTTTTTCCAATTGACCAGCTTTCAAGGCGTCTCGTACTAATACACCTTTTTAATTGAAATCCAGCAATGGCCAAACCCGTTTCGGCGCAAGAGTAAAACTACATTGACATCACCCCAGCAATGACGGTGCAGAGATCGAAAAGTGTGCAATACTCATTATAGTTCGTTTTTTCTAAGTTCGACCCTCACTGTAAACATCTTTTTGAACAAAGCACGAGAATTGCTAGCTGAATTACTGATAAAACTGGTTAGCGCACATTGTACTGGAGATATGAATAATATTTTCCAAATAAGTTTTAAACACCGATGATATATCCTTCTGTTAAACGCCGTGCGATTTATTGATTAGTTCAATTATAATTTCTGACAAGTCGTCTTTACCTGTGGGGCTGTATATATAGGCAAATACGAGCTAGGAGTCTGGGAAATAAGAGCCAGGAAGAAATAATTTTGAATAAAATCAATCGTCTGTGAAATCAATGTGCGCTAACCAGTTTTCTCAGTAATTCAGCTAGCGATTCTCGTGCTGTGTTCTAAGAGACGATTACAGTGAGGGTCGAACTTAGAAAAAACGAACTATAGCGACGTGTGGCATCAGTTCGTTTGTAAGCAAAAGGGAGGGCTCTTAACCCGCGCACCGACGGGGGGGGCGGATATCCGCCCCCCCCCTGAGGTTTTTCGCGAATAGCGGGAAAACCGCGGCGCGTAGCGCTGCGAAATTTGATATGACTATAACCTCATCAATTTTACACATGGTGTGCAAGTTTGAACCTCCTACCTTTTAAGGTCAGGTCACCAGGTCACTTTGAATGACCCAACCTCAAGTCACTTTTTTGCAACTTTGTCACCGTGCCAGAGCTACAGTAGATGTCGGAGGCCTTTGAAAGTCGCAGGATATTATTAGGTCATTAGTAGCTACAATTTGTATATCTCGGAATTTTGATATCGGTGACCTAAGGTCAGGTCAATTTCGCGACCTCCCCATTATAAATCAATGGGGGAAAATCAACTCCCTGTTTTTACCACTAAAACGGGTCGAAATGGCCCCATATACCATACATGACTTCATATACGAGCAAACTTCACTACCTTGAGGTTTGTTTTGCTGTTGGGCAGCTGTGAGGTCATGTGACGTCATCAAAGGTCACCAAAGGTTTTTGGCCAATAACTCCGTACAGGAACAAGATACAGACGCGTGGATGGTCTCATTGTGTTCAGCTCGTCAAGACGCATCGAATGATATACATGATGACCTCGAGGTCACGTGACCTGAGGTCAACCTTTGACCTTGACCTTTCGAGGTCAACATATATATCATTCGATGCGGATTGACGAGAAGATCACGATGATGCCCTTAGTTTGTTCCTATCTTGACTAATTCGAAAGTTATTCGAGAAAAACTCTCCATATCTAGCGCCGCCATTTTGACTTTTTCGACCCCTGTGACGTCATCTTTGACCTGACCTGAAAATGACCTTAGTAAAAATTGTAGATCTTGGCCGTGCGTATCCGATGCCGTTTACCGCTTGTCGCTATCTTGCTTCATTCTCGAGATCTCAGGGGGGGGCGGTCATCCGCCCCCCCCCCCCCCGTCGGTGCGAAGTTGGCGCAGACCCCCGTCGGTGCGCTGGTTAACCCGCACCGTGCTGGGGGGGGGGGGGCGCTTTTACGCCCCCTCCCCTCAGGTTTTTCGCTTTTTGGTGCACCCGTTCATCCAAACTTAAGTCCCAAGTCGTTCAAGGACAGGTCACCAGGTCTGACCTTGTATAAGGTACTGAAATTTTGACGTCGCTTGCGTTAAAAAAGTTATTGGTGAAAACGAGAGGGGGCAGATTCTACCCCCCCCCCCCCCCAGGAGGGCGCGGTCACTGGTTGACATTGGTTCCGTTGTCTACTGGTTCAGGGTTGTACTAGTTCAGTTGTCCACTGAGTTCAGTGTTCTACAGTTCAGCTGTTCGCTGGCTCGGTTGTCGACTGGTTCAGAGTTCCCTGGTTCAGTTGTCAATGGCTCAGTTGTCATGAAATCATTAGACCTTTCTCAGAATCATAAGGATTTCCGATTTGGGTATAGTATATCGAATTTCAGATCAGCTTAATTATCGTCCGAATAAAGTCGTTTCGTTGGGAAAATATATTCATTAGAAACAATATTTTGCCACCCCAAACCAAAAGCAGAGGTTAGAGATTTCTTAGGGGAAAAAAACGCTGCAAAGGAGCACCTGATATCTATCACTCATAAGTCAAAGAACACATTGTAACTAGAGATGTCAATCGGATACCAACTTTTTGGTATACCGATACCAAACCGATACTAACTTGATATTTGAAACTTCAAGGACAAAGCATTTGGTATTCTGTTGGCATTGTGATTCCTCACTAATGAAAAAGAACCTGAAAATTGGTGTAAAAAGTTTTTCCTTAAATTGCCAAGTCGGTACGGTTTCGGTATTTTTTCATGGATATTGTTGGTATTTGTTTTGGTATCGGTATCATGATTTTCCGTAACTGACATCACTTATTGTAACTGAAGGACTACGGAATAAGGCAGCTTCAAGGTTAGTAAATTCTGATGAAAGGAAGCAGCGATTATTCAACCCTTACAGCACACCCGAGAACCTGAGAGTCAGGATGACTCCTCCCATGTCAAGGTCACTTCTACCTCGTCAGGGTGACTATTCGATTTCTCTGCAGCTTTGAAAACAGCCCGTCGACACCGCGCTGTCACATGATTATCATCGTCTGTGGCCCGCGGCCGGCTCGGGCTGCCCTGCCGAGTCGGCGGGCCGGAATATGGGCCGCTGGCTGGGCGGGCAGCCGGCGGCGCTCACTGGCGCAGCGCCGCCGGCCGCCGGCGGACAAATGTGTGGCGTCACGCGCGGCGTGTGGGTGATCAGCGGCACCATCCGCGTCGGCGCCGGCACGTTCAGCGAGGTGGCTGATGGCGCCGGCGGCGGCGAGCTGGTCGGGCCGGCCAGCGGTGCCGGCGGCGCCGCGCCCGCACCGACGGACAGTGCCGGCGGCGAGTCGTCACCGGAGCTGCCTGCCGAACGGGGCACAGCATCCATCCGTAAACCTAATGCAAAGGCTCACAGCTACACGATAACATGCCAAGATAAACGGTTACAAAGTGCAAAATGCTAAGCAGAACAACAAACTGCCGTGAAACTGAGTATTAGCAGAATTCTACTTCCGAACATAAATGATTATCTGGTGATTCGGTGTCAGACATGCTTAGTGCTTACCTCCTAAAAGCATCTCAACCAGTAAGTTGTCCATTTTTGCCGTTCCGAAGAACTTCAATAGATGAAGCTGCTCGACCATCTCCCTGGCTATTGATTGCAGGCTGTATGAGAGAAAAGCAGAAGGTCACCAAACAGCGGCTCACGGACGGTACGAAAGGGCCCAGAGGTCAAACCAAGTCCACTCAAGCTCACAAATTCGTGATCGACGCTCAGCCAGTCATTAATCAACTGACAGAGCGTCTGCCGCTAGTTTGCCTATGCTATTTGGCTATCATTCAGTTGTTTCAGCGAGAAAACCATCGTCAATAGCCGGAGAAGACGTTTAAAGGGGCACTGGAGCCAAGGCCAACGACAGGCTAGTCACTCATACAAAAAGTGGACCATTTAAAACGTGTAACATCTTGTTTACCGTGACAACACGAAAACGTGCCCAGTCACTTCAAGAGCCCATTGATTTCCATAGCACGAGGTGGCGCTCGCTCCGCGCTCGGCCTCGCTGGGACGTTCCGGACCGTGTGCACGGCGCGCACCTGGGCAGGATGAGCAGCAGCGCGCCGAACCGGCCGCGCCGCGCCGACTCCTGGTCGGCGATGTAGTCCTCCAGGTTCAGCTGGATCTGGTGGCGGTAGCGCTCGATCCGACCCGTGTCCCCGGCACAGCCGCGGCACGCCGCTGCCACAACGACCCGACGCCCCGGCGTCAGTGCTGCGTATCAACTAGAGGTGTCAATCGGAACCGAAAATTTTGGAATTCCGAAAATTTCCGAATTCCGATTCGGAAATCGGACGGACAAGTGACAAACACATCGGACATATTCGGAAAACTAGTTGAAAGTTACAAATTTCTTAAATAAGTTAAAGACCAAACTTATTTCCATTATCAATATCCAAATTGCAAAACATGTCATCAAAAGTGGCAAGGAATAGTGCTTCATACATCATTCATAATCATAGTGCAAGATGAACATAAACGTGATTGCATTTAGCGGGTAACCCTGAGTCAAATAAGGTAGGTACATACCCACATGTACTGTGCCAACTTTTAACTCTTGAAAATGTGTTTACAAGTAGCAATAGCCAATATGTGACATTGCTGTCAGCAAGCCCATCATTAGATAACACAGTTATGAATATTGAATATGATATACAATTGACCTGTGGGAAGCACCAGACACCAAAGCAGTAAAGTAGGGAATCCAAAAATAGTTTTGCCTCACTGGAAAGTTAACAGAAAAGAGACTGAAGAAAATTGCAAATAGGTATCAAGGTGTGCCAAGTAGCACAAGAGTCTTACCTAGAACCTCCTATCATAAAAGTCATCCCCTTCTACCCCTTCCCCCCAAAATATCCGTGCCGAAATATCGAATACAATGCTACATAAAATATTAACCCGCGCACCGACGGGGGGGGGCGGATATCCGCCCCCCTGAGGTTTTTCGCGGATAGCGGGAAAACCGCGGCGCGTAGCGCCGCGAAATTTGGTATGACCATTCTCTCATCAATTTTACACATGGTGTGCAAGTTTGAATCTCCTAACGTTTAAGGTCAGGTCACCAGGTCACTTTGAATGACCCAACCTCAAGTCACTTTTTTGCAACTTTGTCACCGTGCCAGAGCTACAGTAGATGTCGGAGGCCTTTGAAAGTCGCAGGATGTCATTAGGTCATTAGTAGCTACAATTTGTATATCTCGGAATTTTGATGTCGGTGACCTAAGGTCAGGTCAATTTCGCGACCTCCCCATTATAAGTCAATGGGGGAAAAATCAACTCCCTGTTTTTACCACTAAAACGGGTCGGAATGGCCCCATATACCATACATGACTTAACATACGATCAACCTTCACTACCTTGAGCTCTGTTTTGCTGTTGGGCAGCTGTAAGGTCATGTGACGTCATCAAAGGTCACCAAAGGTTTTTTGCCAATAACTCCTTACAGGAACAAGATACAGCCGCGCGGATGGTCTCATTGTGTTCAGCTCGTCAAGACGCATCGAATGATATACATGATGACCTCGAGGTCACGTGACCTGAGGTCAACCTTTGACCTTGACCTTTCGAGGTCAACATATATATCATTCGATGCGGATTGACGAGAGGATCACGATGATGCCCTTAGTTTGTTCCTATCTTGACTACTTCGAAAGTTATTCGAGAAAAACCCTCTCCATATCTAGCGCCGCCATTTTGACTTTTTCGACCCCTGTGACGTCATCTTTGACCTGACCTGAAAATGACCTTAGTAAAAATTGTAGACCTTGTCCGTGCGTATCCGATGCCGTTTACCGCTTGTCGCTATCTTGCTTCGTTCTCGAGATCTCAGGGGGGCGGTCATCCGCCCCCCCCCCCCCCCCCCCCGTCGGTACTAAGTTGGCGCAGACCCCCGTCGGTGCGCGGGTTAAAAGATGTCGATAGCCTATCAATAAAATGATTACCAAAAGGTGATGAAATGCGGCGAAAGCGTCATAAACGTCACCTAAGGAAAGATGGCCTCCCGATGAGAATCGGAGGAGACAAAAAATGACGTCTAAAACAATTAATACAGTAATTTTGCTTGACAATTGCATTATTTTTGAAAAGTTATGATAGTTTAAAATACATATTGAATTTAAATCAAACGATTAATGGTGAATGCACTTCAATTGGACAAATTTTATTATTATAACGTCATATTATTGATTTACTTTCACATCAACTCAAAGCCGGATACCATGTTCCATGCTACCGAGAATGGTAGCATGAAATGTGTTTTTCATTCTACCAAGGATTTATACAACTTCTTTTTGCTTGTGAATTTCAGTGAATTTGTGTTAAATCATAGCAGGTATTTTTATTTTTGTGATCGCTTATTCTTTTGGATATTCAGAGATGTGTGGCTCAGTGAAGAGCACGTTTCTTCCAGGTGTACCTATCTCACATGTTTCTTCTCACATGAACTATTTTGCTTTTGCAAGAAGTGTTCTACTTTACATCTCAACCAGTGCGATATAAGATGGAGATATGCATTATTATTGTAAGTGACTAGCTGCTTGCATTATTGCTGTATTGATTCATCATCAAGTGGCTTAGTGTAAGGGATGTGGCATGTAATCAATATTTGAGAACGCAAGTTCAAAATAGTTGTGAGTTGGAGGGATATGCAATGTTTTGCATTATTCCTGCTTACTCCCAGCCAGCAATTCGCTTGGGCTGAACTGTGGCAAACGTCGGGCAGCTTGGGCTTAGCTTAGGTTTGCCCACTTTGATCAAAACCAATGTATTTTTTACTAGGGCTGAGCTGGGGCATGCCGCAGCTATGCCCACGTGCGGAAAGCAGTAGCTCAGCCCGACATCTGCCTGCGCATCCAAAACAGGCTTAACTTGGGCGGAGCGCGGGCTGATCAAGCTGGCTGTGTCCTTCGGCTAACTGGAGTAAAGCCGTAGCTTAGCCATACTTGTTCGGCTGTACGCGCATGCGCAGTTCTGCGCCAATCATGTGCAGCGTTTGTGACAGTCTGTGCGCTGTGCGACGAAACGACACACCGGTGTTGGGGCATTTGGTGGTTGATGTTTGAACGCGTGTGACAGCGCGAAGAAGGGATAGTGCTCACTGCTCTTATCAAGTGGACTGGCATGGAGTTTTACGGTAGGTAAGTGTATTGAATGGTGCGCTTGATCGTATGTAAACGTCATGATTTTGACTGAATTTCACACCATCAAACATGAAGCTGAATAGCTGTTCAGCCTGGCGACTTATACCCTCGCTCAGAAAAGCCGCATTCCGTGCCTTTATATCTTTGTGAAATACCAGCACTTCTGAACCAGGAAAATGAAATACAAAACACAAATATTTATCTACTTATCACCGAGCACGCTCATTCTCTGTCCGCGTTGAAAATCGAATGAACATTTTATACGGATCAATGAGAAGTGCTTTTACAGCATAAATGCAACAATAAGTTATTTTTCAAGCAAACATGCAATGTATGTAAATTAAACCAACTAATCTCTTTTTCAGGTACGTACCATTAGAGCAAATGGGTCCAAAAAATTGAATAGTTATACAAACCAGGACCGGGTGGACGCCGCAGTCGCCCTCGCCAAGTGGTTTAGCGGAAACTGCCTGCTTATAATTAAGTAGGTACACCTACATATATGGAAACTGCGCCGAAAGCTGGCCGACCACCTACTGCAGATGTGTGTGTGTGGAGGAGCTAGACGCCTCCAAAGCTCCCATTCATCAGAGTGAAGTTCCTTATAAACGATTGTTTGCTAATTGCTTTATGTCTTATGAGCGATTACTTGCTGTCCTTACTTTATGCTTTCGGTTGGGTGTTCAACTAAGTATTATGAACGGGGAGGGAGGCTAGCGGGCCTTATGATTGTTTTATAGTTTTGATGGCGTTTTTTCACGACTCATGCGATATTATTGCTGCAGTTTGCAGTCCACTGTTTCATGTATTTTTGTTTCATTTGACGTGTCTGTAGTCGTTTGAAATATACCTTCAATCAAAGTCAACCACTACTTTCCTTTCGCAATGCTCGATGACCGGTTAACAGAGCATATGAGTGACCGTAACAATTTTGAATATGCATTGTAACCGCACAACCTGCTGAAAGTGCATTGGCTGCTCCTTGCTACTTGATCCAGTGTGAAGCAAAAGCAAGATGAAGTCAAGTTGAGACTTGAGAAAACAGGAGCCGTCACTCGAGCCGAACCCGAGCAAAGCCACAGCAATTTGAAATGTATAAACCCCATTCACTTTTATGGCTTAAGTCGGGATAGACAGGGCACACAGAGTGGGCTTGCCGTAGTTTAGCCCGCTCGGGCCCAGAGTAACCTCCATTATATAAATGGATTCACTGCTCGGGCTTAAATCGGGCTAACGCCAATCGTCGCTCAACTAGGGCTAAACTACGGCTGTCCGGAGCTCGCAGATCGGGCATACCTCCGGCATAGCATGGGCTTTAGTCGGCGTTTTTGTGTCATACGCCGACTTTAGCCCAAGCCCTAGCCGACTTTAGCCCGACTTAAAATCTCGGGCAATCCGCACTTGAGCCTGCTTGGGCCCGGAGCAAAATTGCTGGCTGGGCTCAGCTTCAGTTGTAGGCTGTAGCACATTTTGAAGCAGAATAGGCTTGTCTCAATATGCTGTTCTTGTGTTGTATATCAGATTAGGCCTATTGCCCTAATGCCCATTCCCTACTGCATATCAATATGACATTGCTTCAACATTTTTAGTTTGCAATATTTTGCACTCAAAACCAGATGGCGGATCTGTTATTTAGTTATCATGTGGTACATACAAACATATACCTAATATAGATCAATTCCCCCACCCTCTCTTTCCATATCCAGCTTTCGGACAGTTTTCGGACAAATCCATGCCTTGGACATTTTTCGGACAAAAGTGAGCTAGGATTTTGGACATTGGACGGACATCGGACAAGAAATTTCTGAAATTGACACCTCTAGTATCAACCTTTCGGGAACGCATGTGAGGTGCAGCAGAATCCGCTTCATATATATAGTACGCCGTCAAAGTAGGGGAGAGTGGGGCAAAGCGGACACCCTAACGCTTCTCACGATGCCAACGCTTGATTTTTAAACTTGGAAAGATTCTTTCTATACCAATGTGATCCCTAAAACGCCTTTTTTTCCTTTGCCTTGCCTTTTATTTCAACTACGTTTTATT